AGAGACAGAAAGACAGGGAAGCCCAACAGGGCTGGTACGAGTCCTGGTTCAATCAATCACCTTGGCTAACCACTCTGATTTCTGCCCTGATAGGTCCATTGGCGATGCTGTTTCTAACAGTCACCTTCAGACCATGCCTGTTGAACAAGCTGGTCTTGTTCGTTCAGACCCGCCTGGAACGGACCAACATCCTGTTCTTAGGCCGACGACAATTGCTGTGAATTCAACCAGGGAACATTGCCAGTCACAAGATTTTCCGAACTTGTCTGGCAAAAGCTTACTCAGGTCTCCCAAGACCCCTTTCCCTTGTCAAGTTACAACCTTATACCCCATTTTAGTACCTATGTATATGACTACCTCATTCATTTGTGAAAAAGGGGGGGAGATGTGATAGATAGGGAAAAGGCTCTGCGGAAGATCTCGCGATGTTACGGAAAGGCAGGACCCTCTGTTCCCCTAGATAAGACCCTCTGTTCCCCGTAGATAAGAAATTAACATAGGAATGTAGCCTCCCTTAACCGAATACTAGTAACTTTCCATTCCTTACCCAGTACTTTTCCATTCCTTACTAACCATAGGTAAGAAGGACAAACCCCCTTTTTGACGTAGAGACCCCTTAGACTATAAAAATCCAAGAGATGAGATAATAAAGGCCTTTTGACCGTCCATCATATTGATGCCTGCGTGTGTCATTGGCCCGAGCGGCCCTGGAGAGTCTGGGCCGCCGTGCTGTTCCTCTGAACCAGGTCGCCTGCCTTGCTCCAGAAGGCAACAGGGAGGCACTAGATGACACTGGGGGTGCTCCCTCCATGCCTCCTGCGGTTGCCCACCCTTCCAAGGGAGGTGCTCATGGCTCAGAGGGAAGGCTACACAGGGCACTCTCTGCTCCCCATTTCCTCTCCCAGTATCCCCAAGGGCTCCCCCATCCCTTTGCTCATACCTGCAGGGGCTCCCCAGCCCCATCCAAGTGGCCAAGTACCCTCAGGGACTGCCCCATTCTCTCCCCACAGTGCGTACAGTACACCCAGGGCTTCCCCATTCCCCCTCCCACTACCCCTGTCCCATCCCACTGTAAAAGGGGGAGTCGGGGAGGATTCTTGCTGAAAGGTTTCTCATTTGAAAATGAAGCACAAACATGGCCATATTATATCTGAGAACTGTTTATTGATAAAGCAGGGTAAGTGTCCTTACCGAAGGGGGAGAGATGGGAGTAGAAAGGGAAAAGGATAGTGAGAGAAACAGAAGACAGGGACAGTGTTACCACAAGAAGCCCGGGCGCTCTGTGGGCATTAGCTGGGCAGATAGAATATGTGTGCTGCAAGCCAGGGCGAGCCCACATGGCTTGTGTGAGTGGCTGGGCATGATTTCCAAGAATGGCACCTGCGTGTCTCCGGCATGGGCGAGCGATGGCTGCAGGCTGGCTGCTGCGGGCTGGCTGCGGGCTGGTGCTGCGGCACTGGTGACTCTGGGCTGGCTGCCACGGGCTGGGGCTGCAGTGGGCAGGTGCAGTAGGCTCGGTGCTGTGGGCAGCATGGGAAACGCGGCAGAGGTGGCGGGTGGGTGCAGGCAGCATCTGCTCCATCAGGGAGGCAATGAAGGAACATCCAGGACGAGCAGGAATGAGCTGCCTCGGGGAAGCAGCGAAGCAGGGAAGAACGGGTGCAGACAGGGAAGGACCACCGGGAGGAAAAAGTGGGGGTGGGGAATTATTGGTGATATTTTTGCCCAGCGACTGGGAGGAATGATGCATCTGACTCAATCTTTTCAGAAGGCTAATTAAGTACTTTTTTATACCGTATTATTCTATATTATATTACATCTAAACTGAATCAGCCAAGCACTCAACTGCACTCCACTGCACACAATCTCATGACTGTCAGCCAACAGTCCTGACACACACACACCTGGATTCAATTGGTCAGTGAATCAAAACTCTCAGACCAGAATCCAATTAGCAATTCCCTTCAGGTAAACAACCTTGCACAATGCATTCCACTCATGAACAACACAGGAGCAGTAAATGAGATAAGAACTGTTTGGATCATTCTTTGCTTCTCTCACTGTTTCTCCCAGGTTCAGAGAATGTCAATCCCACAGGGGAGGAGGCCCAAACTGACACTCCGAGTGAGCCCCTGATCCCCCCAAGAAACCCAAAGCAAATGCTCCTGTTGTGTCACAGTTTGCTGCCTTCATTTACAAAGGCTCCTCCCACAGCCCGATTTCCCAGCCATTTTTCCCAGGCATCTGTCCCACCAGCCAGTGGGTGTCACTCACATCCCGATCACTGAAGCTTTCTCTCCCCTGATTCTTGGTTGTGTGAAGCCTCGCCAGGGACAGGGTTCCCAGCACATGTACAACCAACAGAGTCATTTTTCACCTCATGTGTAGCATATGTTGAGACATAAATCAAAATCAGATTTGTTCCTCTTAACCCCCATGTCCTTAGTGGCTCTGCAATCCCCCTCCCAGTACTCCCACTAAGGTGGCTTACTGGTGCCCATCCCAGTTCCAAGGGGGCACAGGACCTGGTTCCCTGCTCCTGGGAGAAAAATGCAGCTCTTTGGTTAAACTGGCAGAAATTGTGATTCTTTCTTCAGCTCTTTCAAGGAAGCTGAACAAAGTGGGAACCTCCCTTGGGATGGAAAATACCACCCCCTTCTCTCTGAACTAGTATGAAATTACAGGGCTTTTAGTTAAAGATGTGGGAACAGGAATAACAGTTCTTTACTGGTATGTGTTGTGAGAAACAAGTTAATGGAAGTTGACTTTTGCTGGATATTATATGAATTGATATAACATTATTGATTATAGTGTTGATTAAATATTGCCATGTTGTTCAGATAGTGAAAAGTATTATGGAGTAGCTGATGTTGTTGTGGCCATCCAAGGGTGGGGCCCAGCCATGGCCCAGCCCCACTGCACAGGGATGGCCATTGCCCAGCCCTGCTCTGGCCAGCCCCAGGGGGCAGCCAGCACCTGAGAGTCCCCCCTGCCCCCTTGGCTTTGATTCTGACAGCTTTAGAGCTGCTGCAGAGGTGAGAATTCTGTGGGTGGAAAAAGGCCTGCCTGTGGTTTGCTCAGCTCTGCAAGAAGCACAAACCCCAAAGGGAGCCAAAGCAGTGTCTCTGCAAGGGCCTTTGATGGTTTTCAGAGCAGGGCTGGCTGGAAATCGCCTCCTGCAGGGGCAGCTGTGTGAGAACCAGTCCAGAAAGGCAGCAATTGATCATTTTGTCCCTTGCAGCAAGGGTCTGAGATAGCCCCAAAAACCTTGAGTATCCCGCAACAATCGGCACAACAACCTGACCAGGTCCCTCCTCCTTCCTGTCTCAAACATGAAGCCCTTTAGAATGGCCTGGGAAGAGAGTTTGGGTTTTGGGCGTGGCTGCCAGACAAGAGGGAAAAGTGTGGAAATATGGAGCTGTGGCTCTGGCTGCAGCTGGGGTGGGGCTGTGGGGAGTGACCCTGTGTGGATTCCAGGTTTCCCCAAAGCTGCTCCATCCCTGCCCTCCTCACCTGAGTAAAAGGCTGAGGATTTGCAGAAATTGTGGTGTAAAGCCACCAGAGGTGCTGCTGTGGACCGGAGACCTGCCTGGGGTCAGGTGCTGCCTTCCTTCCATTCGGGATCATGGAGAGCCGGCGCTGGTGTTGCGCAGGGCATGTGCCTGGCCCCGGGACACTGCTACGCTGCCAGTGGGCACTGGAATCCAACCTGCTGCCTTGGCGGCTTCTGCCCACTGCCGGTGGTGGTGCCGGGACCGATGGGTGCCCGTGAGTTTGCGAATGGAGCGATTTCCCCTCCTCCCTCGTGTCCGAGGCCGCGATGGCCGCTGAGGGGATAGAGCTGGACCGGGGCGCCCCCTGCTGGCCGGGAGTGCTCCCTGCAGCGCCCCCTGCTCGCCGCGGTTATAACTGCCACAAAAACCAACAGCGCTGAGCGGGAGGGAAAGTTCTGGGTTTGTGTTGTTTGTTCTGTTCTGGTTTATCAATTTCCCAGGAAAGAGCTGTTAATCCTTTTCCTTCACTTTGGCCTGGAAGCCAGATCATCTTTGAAATTAAAAAAAGTTTCTGAGATGGGTTTCTTTCCATTCCAGGAATTTTTCCCAGTTTCCTTGGCAGATATTTCTCATTTAAATGAGTTGCCCACTTCTGGGTTCCAGCGTGGATGCAACAGACACCCCATGAGCAGATAGGGTCAGGGACTGTGCTACCTCATGCTCTGCCTTTTAAGCCAGTTGCGTCACCAAGGGTCCTCTCCACAGCTGGCACTTCTGGTCACCTGGCTACTCAGGAGCTGACTTTGTCAAAGTGTTACACTGTCCCCAGTGTGCCATGGCTTACAGATGATGGACAGACGGAGCCCTGTCTCACCAAAAGCAAGGTCTGGCCCACCCCTGCCACACACAGCTGTTCCAAAATGTCTTCAGACTTCAAATTTTTCCTGTCTCTGACACCCCACCCAGTGCCATGGCCTGATTCCGACTGCCTGGGAAAGGGGGAGGCTCAGGAACCTCCTCAGGACCTTTGTGAGATCCTCGTGTGGGGAACATGGCAGAGGAGGGGTTTGGGACAGGGGACAAGAGAATCCAGAGCCTCCTGAAGGCCACTTTGGCCATCAGAGCAAGGAAGGTCCAGGGCTCTGCCAGATTCCTCCGGTGGAGGAAACGTGATGGGGGTGAAGAGTTCGAGATTATTCTTTGTTGGTGGTTTTCCCTGGAAATTGTTCCTTGTGTGACCATTTGGACTGTGAACCTTGTTGCTGTTGCTGTTGATTTTGTTCTTTCATTGCTGATTCAGGAACTGTAAGACTTTTGGAATTTTTGTGCCTCCATGGGGAGCGGTAGGGAAAGGGGCAGCAGCCCGTGGTTTTAGTGGGAACCCAGAACTGGCGAATCCCATTCCTAAAGCTCGACAAAGCTGAACAAACACCATCTCTGCCAGTTTAACCAAAAAGCTGCATTTTGGACTAAATAAGAAGGAAATGGGTCCTGTGTCACCTGGCGCTAGGAGGAGCCTGGGAAGCCATGGGTGTACTGGGAGCACTGGGACGGGGAAAGGGGAGCACTTGGTGCCCTGTGCAGCCCTCCTGAGTCATGGTCATCACCCCAGGCAGGATGGGCCACCATGGGAGCCATGGGATGGGGACTCCCAGCTCCCCCAGTGTCACAGCACGTTCCCATGGATGTCACTGGTGTCCTGCAGTCACCCATGTGGTCCTGGCAGCTCTGCATGGGTCACCTGGGGGTCCTTGGGGGGACAGTAAGAGACACCTGGCTTGGGGTGACATCCATGGGTGACATGTCCATGTCCCCATCCATCCCCCATACTCACCCTCTGCCCCCTCATGTCCAGCCCCTCCCCCACCTGCAGGGGATAAGGGGGTTCTGGGGGGCCCTGTGGGGATAAGGGGGGATCTGTGGGGTGTCTGGGTAGGGGGTCAGGCAGAGTCATGGCTGGAACTCCCCACTGACCTGTCCTGGGATTTCCTGAGAGCTGCAAGAAAAAGAGGATGGGGTGATCATGGGGTGTCCTGGGCCCCAACCCCAACTGGGACCTTTAAATGCCCACTGGAGCCCTGAGCCCCCACCAGACACTCATTTCTACTGGGCTGCCAGGCCCCTGCACCGAAAGCACCCCTGAGGAGCCCCAGAACACCTGAGGTCCCCAGGTACTCTAAACCCCTCTCCAGGATCCCTGAACCACCTCAGGATCCTGATTTTTCACACAGCCCCTGAGCACCCCTCAAGTCTTAAGGAACCCCAAGAATGGAATGCAGGGAAGCCTCGAAACTGATCGAGAATCCCTAAAGAGCTCTCAACATCCCTGCACAACTCTCCAATACCTCCCCAAAAGCCCCCAAAAGATCCCAGTGTCACCCCAATATTCCACAAGGTCCTTCCTGGGACAGGCCAGGACCTTCCAAAATGGCCCCAAAGCATTGAGCACCCCAAGCAAAGGTCACTGGGGGCTCAGTTTCCTCCAGCTCAGGGGCTTTGTGTGATGCCCCAACTGCTCCCCTAGTGTGTGGGGCTTCCCCCCGATTCCTGTAGGACCTTGTGCCACCCCCATTGTCACCCACGCTGGCGGTGCCACGAGTGACAGCCCCCGATGACAGCCAGGAGACGGAGCAGGAACAGGAGGGTCTTGCCGACATTCACAGTCACTGCTGGGGACAGAGGGGGACACATTGGGGTCACCCTGAACTACAGGGGCCCTGAACCCCCCAGCAACCCTGTGTGACCTCACCTGTGCCCCAGGGTGAACCAGGTGTCACCTCCAGGACCAGCTCTGGGCTGAGTGCCTGGAACACGCAGTGCCCATCCTGTCCCAGCTGGTTGGTGGCCATGCACTGGTAGGTGCCCGAATGTCCCACATCAATGCCCCTGAGATCCAAGAGGGGACCCCGAGCAACCTCCTGCCCATTGTGCAGCCAGGTGAAGGTGACAGGGGCTGAGCCCATCTGCACCGAGCAGTGCAGGCTCACGTTGATACCTGCACACACCTGGTGTGACAGGGGACCAGGGGTGATGGTGGCATTGGCCACGGTCACTGTGGGGACAGAGACGGTGCTGGCACCGGGCCAGGTGGGATGCGAGTGCCGTGAGTGGGGTCACCCCCAGCCTGAGGGTCCCGCTCACCCAGGACGGTGACATTCAGGGGGTCACTCTCGGCCACACCCGCCCCATCACTGACCCGGCACCGGTACTGGCCGCTGTCATTGTCCCCAATGTGGCGCAGCTCCAGGTGGGGGCCAGTTCCTGGCAGTGTCCCCGAGCCCTCCCAGTGCCAGGAGGAGGACAGAGGACCTGTCCCCACAGCCACTGTGCAGCTCAGCACCAGACTGTCCCCGAGTGCCACCTGTCCCCTGGTGGGCTGCGCTGACAGGGACACCCCTGAGGGCGAGGCCACTGCATGGGAGGGGGACAACAGGGGTCAGTGAGGGATGACCCCTGGGTGGTCAGGGAGGGGCAGGAGGATCGCAGTGAGGGAGAGGTGGTTCAGACATGGGGGCGGGATTGGAAACAGGGGGATGAGGGGTTCTGGGAAGGGACACCTGAAGAGGGATGGGGGCGACACCAGGGAAGGTTTGGGGACACAGGGAGCGGATGGTGGGACCTGGGGAATGTGTGGGGACCTCAGAGAGGGGTGGAGGGATGCAGGGAGGGGTCAGGGGATCCAGTGAGGGATGAGTGGACAAAAGCCAAGAATGGAGGGACCTGAGGAGGGACCCAGGTCAGCAATGGCAGGACATGGAAAAGGTGCCAGGGAAGTGTTTTGCGGAGAGAAGAAGAAACCTCACAACTTTGTAAAAGTTGTAAAGCCCGGTATGCTTTTATTACAACGCGCGACGCGCGCCGGACACAAGTCCCCCAAAAAGGCATGCCTGCCTCTGAAGACCTCGGGTCTTCTTTTATCCCCCTTCCAAATCCATATGCATACAGGTTCACAATAAGTTCATACATATTCATTCCGCGTGACATTTAGCACCAGTTCTTCTTTATCAAAGGAATTTCTAAGTCGGGGGCAAATCGACCTTGTGGTCTTTTCTGTTTTTCTTTCTCTGTCTCCTTGCTGTCTCGGCATGCGAGTTTTTCCTTCAGCTTTGGCCTCACAGACTTTTCACCTTTCTTAGACACTTCATCTAATTCAGAATGGATCTTTACCCTGTCTCATTCCCCCCTTTCCTAGGAAATAAGTAAATTCTTTTACTTATTGAAAACCTTCACGACAATAAGTGTCTTTTAGTGCTTCACCATGTACGTTTGACAAAGATGTCAGTACAGCTATTCGTTGTAGCATTCTCCAGTTCCAAATTAGCAATATAATAGATAATCCTAAGCTTATCCCAACTAATATTAATAAAACTACAAAGGGGTGGCACAACTTATTAAAGAGTAAAGATTCCATTTGCAGTTGGTGACCACCCAAAGATCACATCTCACCAGTGCTGATCCATAATTTGGTTTATTCTTTGTAGAACTCTGGTTATCTCTTTTGTATCATGTTGGACAGTAATTAAGGTTTTCTTTCCACTTCCTTGGATTCCTTTCAAGCCTTCCAATAGATCTTGGTGCCTAATTAATTGTTTTACCAATGTAGGGTTCATCCCACTAGGAGTAGGTGGTAGTCTGTGATACATTGTGTAATTGGCTTAAATCAGCTGGTGGGATGTTACTGGTACCAAATACGAAAAATCACACCCAATAATCTTAACAAAATTACAAATACAGAGATTAGAATGGCTTCTAATAGACAGAATAACATGATTGCTATCAATTTGTACAGCAGCACAAGCAGTTCTCAAGCATACACCCTTCTCCAGTATATACGAGCACAGTTTTCTGGTCAGTGACTGGATGAATTTCAAAGTAACAAATACTCTGTTCAGTGTCCAAACACACATCCTGTACATTAATAGTATTGCTTTCACAAATAAATTCCATCTGTTCACTAGTAATGCAGAATTCCAAGTTTACTGTCTCCCACTCTTCATTCATCTTTCATGCCCAAACTCTATGTTCTGAAGGATAGAGTATTGTTTTTTTCATGGTTTAATCCTAGAGCAACGATGGGATGGATAACATAAACAGCGGCATTATGTATGGTAAGCACAAAGGCAGTTGCCACATTAGAAACAGGATCATAGGTGAAATTCACCATAGTCTGCCAGGATTGAAACTTCCTTTCAACATCAATTGCATTATCCCACACAATTTCTTGAATTTCAGCTGGAAAATTACCTTCACCCCTTTCCCATATGATCAGAGCTGCTGTTGCTTGTATCCCTAACTGTGCTTGTATACAACTGAAAGCTAAAGACACATTATCTTGAACTATACTAAGTGCTTCTACTATTAACTTGTGGTCTTGGTCCCCGGCCTTTTCATACTTCCTTACTTTGGCAGTACTTTTGAAATCTGTCACTGGCTAGTTCCTAATGCCAATAGAGATTACTATAAAGGCTGCTTCAATTTTGTTAGGCTACCTGCTGCTGTGGCCAGTTTATTCAGCAGTATTTCTGAATCAATTCCATTTAAAACTCCTAATCTTTTCCCTAATATGCCAGTTAGATGTTTGTTATGGGGAACAGGAACTGCTTTCTGTCCATGACCATCCCTCCCTGCCAGAGGGATGTGCTGGGCTCACACTGCAAATTCAGACACACTTCACAAGTGTATCTGACAGAGGTTTAGGTCATATTTGAGGCAGATGTTTGTTCTGAAATGTAGAGACCTCAGGGAATCTCCTTCCCCCTCCAAAGCACCTGATTTCCCAGATGTGTGGCAAGCAGGAATGTCTCTCCTGGTCTACAAAACCTCACCCACCTTGCCCCTAGCTTCAGGTCCAAGCCTCAAGTAAATAGTGAAGGGGAAATCTGAGAGAAGAGCCTAAATTCATTGCAGTGCCTCAGAAGAAACTGGGATTGGGTTTCTGCTACTTGAAACACTCAGCACAAAAATGATGCTCAAAATCCTACAGCCTGCTGCTGAGATCTGAGGAGGGGTCTCTCTCTCTACCTCTTTTAAGCAGAATCCAACCGCCTCAGACTGGGACAATCACTGATCCCGATCTCAGTAGGAAAAGGGATAGCTATAAATAAAGAAAATCACCTTCCTTGCTTGGGTTAATTCACCACCTGCTGCTCAGCACCCTTTACCAGCCATTGCCTGAGTGTTCAGCCAACCAGCTTGGAAAATGACCTAAGGAAACTGATTTCTTGGTGTTCCTGGTTTTAGGCACCAAGACAGCTGGCTCCTTCCTTTCTCGTTCTGCTCCTGAGATATGCCTGTTTTTGTAACCATGTTGTCCAGCCCTCAATGGAAGTTTTTAGGAAGGAGGAGCAGGCTGGTTGGATTTTTGAGATGTTAATCTGCATTATCAACTCCACACATTTGAGAGACCATTCTGGATTGAATAATAGCTGTTGTTCAGTCACATTCTTTACTACATTAGGTTCAAGTTTGGAGTTTGGGTAGAGTCTGAACTAGTATGGGGTGTATAAGGCCCTGCTGTGATAAAAAGTGCAGTGTCCACTTTGAATTCAAATGAAAGTCTGATAGTAATTCGAGCTCAAAGGCAGGTCACTTCTACAGGCTGTATCAAGGTGAAATTACACCAACAGTCTGATTCACTTAGGTTATCACAGACTTCCTGGTGTTCATATACACCAGGGGAGGTTCAGACACTAATTACATCTGGTCTCTCATAAGCTACCCTATTGATGACCTGGCACCCTACTTTGATTTCTTCTCCTCTGATTCCTTGAAGTGTCCACAGTTTCTTTTCCTGCCATTCTTGCTCCTCACATACCTGATTCTCGTGAATTACTACAGTAGATAAGTTTAAATCTTTTATCTCAGAAGGTTTTCCTATGGATCCAGTATACTGATTAAATGCCAGGGACCAAGGCCATTCAGCATTGCTTTGAATAGAGGTACTCTCAAGTTCTAAAACTTCAGTTATGATTCCACACAAAACAATTCTACAAACTAAAATATGAGCTACTCCCGACCGCAATGTACTCATTTTGCCCGAGTAAGTTTTAATCTCAGTTCATTGTCTCCTGGCGTCACTCCTTAAGGGGTTTCTGGGCCTTCTTCACCTGAGAGTGATGAATTCAGGCATCCTGGTCCTTGATTTTGATTGCAGTGAAGGTGGTGAGAAGTACATGCAGTGGTCTCTCCCACTGTGGTTCCGAAGTCTTCTCTGTAAGAGACTTAACATATACATCATCCCCAGGCAATCTAACTCCCTGCTCCATGTTCCAGCCACATGTTTCTCAATTACTCTGAGCTGTTTGCTTAATGCCACCATGTAGGTGGACATTCTGGACATTTCCCTTGTATTCCATATGGTCTTCTATAAGGCATTCCAAAAGGACTCAGCATTCCTTTAGCTCAAGGTTTACTTTGAATTTGCAATAGTGCTAGTGGAAGAGCTTGGGCTAGGGTGGATTAACTTCTTGCCCCAGTCTTATGATTTGCTGCTTAATCAAATGATTCATTCTCTCCACCTGGCCGCTTGATTGGGGGTGGTATGGAGTGTGAAGTTCCTAATCTAGGCCCAGATGGCTACTAATGTGTTGCACTATTTTGGAAATGAAATGTGATTCTCTATCTGAGGATATCGTGGCTGGAACTCTGAAGCGTGGTATTATTTCTTGTAAAAATAATCTGGTCACCTCTTGAGCTTTGACAGTTCTGGTGGGAAATGTTTCTGGCCACCCTGCAAATGTATCCATCAATACCAGTAAATACTGATACCCCCCCCTTTCCTTGAGAGTTCTGAAAAGTTAATTTGCCACTGCTGTACAGGCCCATGGCCTCTCTGAGTCTGACCGAGTTTTGGCCCGGGGTGGGGGGTATTTTGAGGTTAGTCTAGAGGCAAGGATCACATTGTCGGCTTACCTGAATGATAGTGGCATATAAATTCCTGACAACGATACAACGATTCTTTCAATCAGATGTGTGTTCTAGAAAGCCTGTGGAAATTACTGCTTCAAAGTCAACACTTCATTTCAATGCACTCTGTATCACTCGCAGCCTTGGTAATTTCGAGAAATGAGCCACACTCTATAAAAGGCTTTTAAGTAGTTAGGCCCTAGTGTGTTTTCTAGTGCCCTTCCTTCACTAGTAACCACGAAAATGGGAAGGGATTGCTAGCTCTCTTTCAATGGTAGCCCACCCCTTGCAGTTGTACGTCTCTTTTGATTAGTATTATTGTAAAATGGCTTACCTTCGAGGAAAATCTCACCCTTTGCTGCTTTCTTTGCCTCTCCATCCGCCAGCTCATTTCTTTCCTCCAATTTTAAGCTCACTCTCTGGTGTGCCTTAATATGCTTTTTCAGGTAGCTGAACTGCTTCCAGCAGCTGGATTGTCTCTTCTTTCCCTGTGAGGTCAGCAGTCC